AAATCCGTCCAAAGCCTTCTCTTTCCTAGGCTGAACAGTCCCATATCTGTCAGTCTTTCTTCATATGGCTTGCTCTTCAGACCTCTAATCGCACCTGAGGGGCTAATCATGTTGGAGGGGCTACTGGCACCCTAAGGACCCAAAATCCAGTGCATCACCCAGCATTAGCATGCCTGCACAGGGTTGCACTAAAATTCAAGAATTGGTTTTAATTCCAGTTCTAACCTTGACTTCTGATTTGCATCACTCAGCTGTAGTCGGCTTCATATACAATTGTAGATGGGAGACTCTCTTAGCTGTTTAAAGTATATGATCAGACAAATGAAAGCTTGTCTTCCCTCTTTTACACAAGTTACGAGTGCAGAGAGATGGAGGGTGAACACTTGGATCCGTGCCTCGACTTCTAGAGAGTCTGCAACAAGCATGCAATGTTGAAGCCACACTTCCATATCCCATATCTCCCACTCCGTGCCATTTCTACTGTCTTCAGTGTGATCCTCCTTCTTGCCCATGAACTAGAAAGAGGCATACCCTTGTTGGATGGGTCGGGCATAGTTTTAGGCAGTTTAGTCACAGGGACCATGTTAGACTCCAGGCCCCCTCAGAAAATACCAGCTATTCATGTTCACTTGTTTCTGGATTACAGAAAAATATGAGAGAGATTCTAATGCAAAGAGCTAAGATAGCCCTGCACCCGCCTGGCCTCGTACAGGCGCTCTCTAACGACCTTAGAGCATGCACCCAGTGCTGGCCGCAGCGTGTGTCCCTGGGGCCTGGACATTCGGTTATGTTCACCTCCGAGGGAGGCCCCGACACTCGCCTGTCATAACTTGATCTTCTTTTCTTTGGTGGTGAGGCTCTTTCTCATGGTTCCTCGCAGACCGGGTGCTGCCCTTAGCAGGCATTTTTGGGGCTCCACCTCCCCTACACTCCAGCCATACGCCTGCCCTCAGGACGGCCGGATTATGGGTTGCTGGCCTATCCCTTGAAATCATCGCCTGCTCTCTTTTAAATCTGCCCGTCTCTCAGTGTCCCTTCACCCTAGATGACTATGGGACATGGGACTATCCTCGCCACTGTGTCTGCCCTCCTTTTGAGGCATAGCGGTCCGCTGCGCTGCCTCAGATCATCCTCTTGACCCGGGGGTTGCTCGAAGACTCCTTCCCCAGTTTGAGATCTGCATATTCTCCAAAACAGCAATAATAAAGGGGGGGGGGGAAAGAGAAGAAAGGAATAGTTGTGGCAGGGGGCCTGAGCCCGCCCCACTCAAGGGTCTGGCATCTGTGGCCCTCGAGATCCCTCAATGCCATCTTCCTTGGCCTAACTGCCCTGCTGAGATGGTTGATTCCTTCCTTCAATGGAGCCAGGACCCCTCCTGTGGGTCTCCGTCGGGCCCACTGCTAAGCCTTCTGGCTCTGGCATTACTGCTTCCCTCCCTCCCACCCCCCCATTTCCCTGCCACTGGCTTTTAAATCAGCTGGTTGGCAATTCTTGACTTCATCATCTGTTGGCACTATTCCCAGCTGGCAATAAAAGTGGCTGATAAACCGTGCAGGCAGTTCGTCTCAGTGTGGCTCCATTGCTCCTGAAAATGGTAAGTGTGTCCCATTTTTAGGGCTTTTCATTTCTTGCTTCGGGTGGGTCAACCCTGCCTCGGGTCTCGCCATGGGTGGGTGCTCTGGGGCCTCTGCTTGTGTCCCCCTGGGGGACAAACCCACCCTCAAAATACCTTGGGGTGCTCCAAGTCTTTGGCTTAGTCTCCTACTGTGTCCATTGTTTCTTTGTTGCCTGGTTTGCTATGTCCGACAATTTGTCTTTGGCCTCACTCCTGGATAAGACATACACTATGGTGTTATTTTTCCTGGGCTGATATAGTATTTGAAAGGTTGCAGGGCCAGGGCCCACCTGGTTATTCGGGCATTATCATTTTTGGCCCTGCTCAACCACACTAGGGGTGCATGATCTGTTAGAAGCTTGAACTCCCTCCCCATCAGATCGCTAAACAGTCCCTCTCTATCATAGTGTACTATGTCTCTGCGGGGAGCAGCTAATGACTCACATACACCATGGGTCTTTGAATTCCAGCCTCTTGAGTCAGTATAGCCCCTATAGCTGTCTCCAAGGCGTCCAGCTGTAAGATAAAAAGTTTGTGAAAATCGGCTGTGTGTATTACTACGTCTTCACATAACACCTTCTTTACGAGCTCAAAATTATGCCTCATTTCTGCAGTCCATTTTATGGCCCTTGTCCTTCGCCCTTTCAGAGCTTCTGCGGGCGGTGCCACCAATTCTGAGAAATGGGGCACGAACCACTGGTAATAATTAATCAACCCGAGGAAGGAATGCGGTTTCTGTTTTGGGGCACCATAAAGTTGCGGATAGTTTCTACTTTAGCAGCTAGCGGCCTGATGGTACTCCGCCCTACTAGGAAGCCCAGGTACTTCATCTGTTTCTGGGCCAGCGCGCACTTCCGTGGGTTACTGTCATCCCTGCTTCCCATAATTTTTTGAGAGTATGACTCGTAGCACTCTTGGGTGTTGGCCCATGTCTAGGTGAAGATGATGACATCATCAAGATAGGCCGTGGCGTAGCTGGCATGTGGCCCCAGGATCCAATTCATTAGGCGTTGAAATGACACTACCACCCTGTGGAGTCTGAATGGTATCCAGATGAACTCGTATAGGCCCGATGGGGTCCTGAAGACTGTTTTTGCTCAGTCTCCTTTGGCTACAGGTATATGCCTGCACCCCTTAGCTAAATTGAGCTTTGTGATGTACTGCACATTCCCTATAAGCTCCACTAGCTCGGCTATGTGCAGCAGTGGGAATGCGTCGAAGACTGCCACTTTATTGAGGCGATGATAGTCCACGCACAAGCGGAGGAATCCATCTGGTTTTGGGACAGGGGGCTTCTGTTGGGGAGATTCGTGAGGAGATTAGGAAAATGTTAGGACAAGCGGAGGAATCCATTTGTCTTTCCCGCTGATGCCCTGGGCCTGTGGACCTCGTAATCCACTGGACCAACTCTGCAGATCACCTCGAAGGGGCCTTGCCACTGAGTTAAGAGCTTACTTGCAGATGTTGGCAGAAGTACCAGAACCCTCTGACCGGGCCTGAGCTCCTTTTTCCTTTGTGGGTGCATCATACCTGGCCTCCTGGGGCTGTTGTGCTTCCTGGAAGCTGTTCCTGGCTAAGTTCTGCACCAGCTATATGTGGTGTTGGAGTTCCCACTGGTAGGTGGCTGGGGTCTTTACCTTCCCTGCATCCTGCTCCTAGCTTTCCCATAGCACCTGCAGCAGACCTTGGTGCCGGTGTCCCAGGATGAGCTCTAACGACGAGTACTTTGAGTCCTGTGGGGTGTCTCGGATAGCAAATAAAATTAAAGGGAGCAGGAAATCCCACTTCCGGGGATCACCATCACAACATCATCTTCATAGTGCCATTGAGGTGCTCCACGAGGCCCTTGGCTTGTGGGTGGTACACGGAAGTTCTTGGGTGTTTTTATCTGAAGTGTATGACACACAACCTGTAACACCCCTGATTTATAAAATTTTGCCACTGCTTGGTGGGCAGGTCCACCTTCTCAGCATCTTCCACCAACTCCCTGCCATCTTCAAGCTCCCCAAGCCACCCATTGTGATCCTTGAGCCACTGATGTCCAGTCTCAGCATCCCATACCCTTTCTAGGACACCATAGCGCAGAGTTCAATCACGCCTTAACAACATATCACACACCAGGCATGCGACCACTCCCACTAACAGATCACTTTGATGTTCCATGACTCGAAGTTGGGCCTACCGGTGTTCGACCCTTTTGGTCTCGCCGTGAAGGCAGACCATCCTCACTGGCATTGCCTTGTTAGCCATTTGGGGTGGGATGAGATTAGCCCGCACTAACGACTGGGTGCACCCTGAGTCCAATGTGGCTTGAACAGGGCGGTTCCCCACCCATGCTCTCATGAAGGGACGGCTCCATACGGTGCTGTCTTCCCCCAGAGGCATAACTACAGTCCCTCCGTTTGCCAACATCTGTTTCCTTTCATCTTTCTACATGCTCTTTCGGGGAACTATCAGATCTCCAGCACTCTGTGGGGCTGCTTGGGCACTCCCGTGAAAAGTGTCCTGTTCTCCCACAGCAGAAGCAGACCACCTCTCTTGGTCCATCTCCCCCACCAGGATTCAGGATGGACTCATGAGAGACTCTGCCAGGCCTAGGGTCAGGGAGGACCAAGTTAGGGAACTTCTGGAGAGGCTGGACGTGTTCAAACTGGCAGGCCCAGACTCTCTCCACCCCAAGGTGCTGAGGGAATTGGTAGGGGTCATTGTGGGGCCCCTGGCACGGCTTTACAAGCACTTGTGGTGCTCTGGCCAGGTGCCAGAAGACTGGAAGAATGCCAATGTGGTCCCCATTTTCAAAAAAAGGGAGGACCCAGACAACTATAGGCCCGTTAGTCTTACTTTGGTCATGGGGAAGCTCTTTAAGAAAATTATCCAGGAACACATCTGTGGGGGACCAACAGTAGGGATGATACTCAAGGGCAACCAGCATGGGTTCATTAGGGGCAGGTCTTGTCAGACCAACCTGATTGCCTTCTACGATCAGGTCACAAAATCATTGGATGTAGAGAGTGGTGGTGGATGGGTCATATTCGACCTGGAGGGATGTAAGCGGTGGAGTCCCCCAGGGCTTGGTCCTCGGGCCCACACTGTCAATTTCTTTATCAGCGACTTGGATGAGGGGGTGAAAAGCACCCTGTTTAAATTCGCTGACGACACCAAGATTTGGGGCAAGGAGGGCACACTAGAAGGGAGGGACAGGATACAACTGGACCTGGACAGGTTACAGGGATGGGCAAATAAGAATAGGATGGGATTCAATACTGACAAGTGCAGGGTGCTGCACTTGAGCAGAAAGAACCAGCAGCATGCCAATAGGCTGGGGAGCTCCCTTCCCGAAAGCACAGTGGCAGAAAGAGATCTCGGAGTCATCATCGATTCCAAGATGCCCGTTGTCCGCCTGTGTGAGGACATGGTCAGTAAGGCCAACTGCACCTTGTCGTGCATCCACAGATGCATCATAAGCAGGTCCAAGGAGGTGATCCTCCCCCTCTACGTGGCACTGGTCAGGCCGCAGCTGGAGTACTGCGTCCAGTTCTGGGTGCCGCACTTCAGGATGAGGAATGTGGTCGGCATGGGGAGGGTCCAGAGGAGGACCGCTCGCATGATCGGGGGCAGCAGGGCAGGCCCTACAAGGAGAGGCTATGGGACGTGAACCTGTTCAGCCTCCACAAGAGAAGGCTGAGATGGGATCTAGTGACCGTCTATAAACTTACCAGGGGGGACCAGTGGGAAATGGGTGAGTCCCTGTTCCCCCGAGCACCTCCCGGAGTAACAAGGAATAACGGCCACAAGTTGTTTGAGAGTAGGTTCAGGCTAGACATCAGGAGGCACTACTTCACAGTCAGGGTGGCCAGGATCTGGAGCCAGCTTCCAAGGAAAGTGGTGCTGGCTCCGACCTTGGGGGTCTTCAAAAGGAGGCTTGATAATTACCTAGCTGGGGTCACATAAGCCCAGAATTCATTCCTGCCCAGGGCAGGTGGTCAGACTTGATGATCTGCTCAGGTCCCTTCCCATCCCTACATCTATGAATCTATGGAATAGTTGGGGCATGGGGCCTCAGCCCACCCCATTCAAGGGTCCAGCGTCTGTGGCCCTTAAGATCCCTTGATGCCATCCTCCTTGGCCCGGCTGCCCTGCTGAGCTGGGAGATTGCTTCTTTCAATGGAGCCAGGACGCTCCTGTGGGTCTCCATCAGGCCCCGCTGCGAGCTGCTGACACAGCCCAGGGAGCAGCCTTGCCTTTTGGCTCCAGCATTGCTGCTCTCCCCTCCATTTCCCTGCCACTGGCTTAAAAGTCAGCCAGGCAGCAAGTCTTGATTGCGTCATCTACTGGTGCCATTACCAGCCAGCAGCAAAAGCAGCTGATGTTTTGCATCGGCGGTTTGTCTCGATGTAGCTTTGTTTCTCATGAAAATGGTAAGTATGTCCGAAACTAAACTATGTCCAAGCAGTTTTAGTTTAACACACCAAAAAGACTTTTAAAGCAGTGGGACGTCCAACTCGTGCAAACAGAAACCCAGTTGCGGCGGCATAAACGGGAAATCTTGTGTCGTGTACATAGGCCCTAAATGTGCAGTACCTAAAGTGCATTAATGAATGTGTAGACACACCCCGTGTGTCCTAGTAACCAGGTTCTCCCATCTTGTGGCAAGGTAGCAATGTCTAGGGAAAACTGGATATAAATGATTTCACATCAATGTGATTGGTGAGATCTAGGAGGTGGATGTTGTAAACAAAAAGTTGTTTCGATAGATGTATAAAAGGGGCATGGGAACCAGGAATACTTTTCACTGAGCTAGGGGCTATATTTTAATGCATCTCTATGTTCAACAGATAAACCTGGCCAGTGCCATGCCTGAGTAGGGCATGATTCTAGTGTTGTTTGTGTACAAGCAATCAGGACTCATGGCAGAGGCAATTGTTAGGGTGACAGTAATTTGGATTTTTGGGGAAGCACTCAATTCACAGCTGGAACAAGGCTTCAATCTGTGTCTCAGCAATCTCGCTGACACAAGGCAGAATAATGTATTAAAATAACCTTGCAGATGCTTAGGCAAGTAGTTTCTTTAACAAAGGGAATAATATGCTTTATAATATGCAGGATGAATACATCACTAAGCAAAAGGAAAGGAGATGCAGCCCAGCAGCTATCGGTAGGAGATAAGGTAGAAGCTAGACCTTGGAGAGGCTGCTGAAGTCAGCAGAAAACTAGAAAGATCCCGTAGTTGGCCGAGAGTACCGGGGTTCATGGCCTTACGCCTGCGCTCTTAGCAGAGAGGCACGTCAATGAAGGAAATGCACAGGCGAGCCCATGTTAATGAAGTAGACAGAGGCAGAGACGGTGACGGGAGGAGAAATGGGTAGAACAGGAGGACGGATGAAGGTGGAGTGAATGTTAATAAACCTGAACTAAAGGGTATAAATGTAAAAAAGAACTATTGTTCAGGGCAGGTCCCCAGCTTGCTGTTTTTTAGGGGGCGGTTTGGGACCTGGCCCAAAGCCGTCTCCATTCTGAATCAAGCTGTAGCGAGCAACGCCCTAGTCATTGGGCGCCGCGTGGAGTCAGGATCTAACAGTGATATCTTTTATTAGACCAGCTAGGTTTTTGCAAAAAATAAAAATCTTTAATTGCAAGCAAGAGTCCTTGTTACTAAATACAGCAGCCCTCAGTCTCTACGAGAACAAACAAGGCTATAAGGAAGAGGAGCAGGAGGACGAGCAGAAGTATAATCTCACTTCAAAGTATCCTGACAGTGTGCACAGATTGTCCAAATGAAGGGAGTCCAGTATGACCAGTACTACTTAACTCTTGACTATGCCTCACAGGCTGTGACTCTGTGGCCCCAGAAGCCAGGCTAACCCTAATTCAAACCCAGACTCGCAGATTCTTGACTTAGGCAGGAGGGGGTTGCTAGATGTGACCTCCTCAGGGCCCTGCCAGGCCTACTTATCCCATGAGTCCATGAGTTTCTGTTGAGGTTTAACTCTGAGTTTCCCAGAGAACAAGGTTGCTCTCTTCCTTGCTATGGGGTTAGGCAGACAAGGTTTTTAGGTCAATGTGCTATATTTTATGAGACCAACTCAATAGCTGGAAATTGTTCTTTATAGGCTTTCAGGTGCAAACACCCTTCTTGAGGCACAGGGAGCATCTCTCTGGTGTTTCCTCCTTAGGGGACATAAGAAGTGGCTTAACGGAAGAGTGAGCATCTGCTCAGGAGTGGGTATCAGCACGTCCAGTGTAACTATAACATCCACAGGCTGGTAGTAATACAAAAAAAAGAAATCACTAATTTTAACCCACAACGGACCTGGGTGCAAGTTGCAACTGCTTTGGTGCACTTTTTATTGCAGGGAAATCATGCAGATGTAACGGCTATCTCGCAACAGCTTAATTTTGTTATCCCTTGTTAGTGATACAATAGCTGTCTGCCTGTAACCCTAGTGACCTGGGTTAGGAGACCCTATGTTAGACTCTGGATAGAGACCCAGCAGTAGGAGTTTTGGTCAGATAAATGAAACTTCTGTTTCCAGGAGGACGGTCTTTTCTCACGCTGTAATAGTGGCAAATTCACTACCCGTCTTTGTCCTTATTTGTGAGGCAGTTCCTGGGCCACTTTATAAACATACAAATGGGGTTAGATGCTTATGTGCCATTCCTCTTCCACCCTGCTTTGGTCTATGACATATTCTTAATATAAGAAATAGGTGGGACTCCCCCCCCACAAGCTTAACGTATGGCCACAAATTGATTGAGAGCAGGTTCAGGCTTGATATCAGGAGGCATTACTTTAGGGTTAGGGCTGCCAGGCTCTGGACTGGGCTCCCAAGGGAGGTGGTGCCCTCCCCTGCCTCGGGGGTCTTCCAGAGGACGTTGGATAGATATCTGGCTGGGGTATGATGATCCCGGCACTTGTTCCTGCCCAAGGCAGGGGGTTGGACTTGATGATCTGTTCAGGTCCCTTCCAACCCTAGAAACTATGAAACTACGCTACTTTTTGTGATGTTGTTCAAATGATGGGGTGTGAAAAAAGAAGATGCATTATAATGGGTTTTCAGGGACTTCAGCAAAGTGGGATACATTCATCCTTGGGTGCCTGACAGATGAGAAGACAAAGTTGTTTGGGTAAATCCGATATCTTTTATTAGACCAACTAAAATAGTTGGAAAAATCTCTCTTTGCAAGCTTTCAGGTGGCCCCAAGCAGCAGATACTCCTGAACAGAGATGCTCAGTCCAGGGTGTTGCAGCATCCTGAGCTGCCCTGAGATCCTTTGTAAGGGTGAGGCTCAATGTTGGCACAGTTAGGTGGGCAAACATGACTGGCAAGCAAAACCCAGTGATTTCGAATAGAAATCTATCGCATTAAACTTTCTGCCCTGTTGTGGCCTTGCTGAGCTCTTTACAATGGAAGAATTGCTCTGCGCTCAACAAAAGCGTGAATGTTGTGAGGGGTGCCTTGAGCCCAAAACATTGGGGAACCGCGGTTCTGGTCTGTTGGGACTGCTTTGTTCTTGACACCTCGCCAGATGTAGTCAGGAAAACAGGCTATGGCAAGGGGCAGGACCATATCAATATCGTGGTTGTGGGCACGGATCCAGGAGATGTCAGGAAGGGTCCATAGCTAGGCAGGAGCTGAGGGTTTCACAGGCCCATGGATGTGGCATTAGCTTGCTTCCTCCTTTCCTCCACTTATTGCAGGCTGTTGCTCTATCCCCAGCTCCCTTAGGGATATTTTGGAGTTGAACCAACTTGTCTTGCATGGAGCGTGATGTCTAGGGGGCAATTGGGCATGCTCGCCTGGGGGTACCAGTGCTTCATTTCTGCTTTGCACTGTCCACCTTTCATGCTTTCTCCTGTCACCTGCATCCCTCCAGCATTTCAAATCTGTCTCAGGGATGACTTTCTGTTCCTTGGTCTCCTAACCTGACCTGCTAGGCCCAGCCAACTCTTCCACCTTCCTCACTGACTGCTAATCGGGAAATAAATGTGTGTGTTTGTGTGCACGCAGAGACACCTGAGGTGCCTCTCTCCTGCGACATCTCTTGTGATCCTCTGTTTTAGGTCCCAAACCAAGGGTTGATGTGCAGGGGTTGTAGGGACTGAGTACTGTGTCTTGCTTCACCTGCAAGGAAGTCTCTGACAGCCTTTCTCTATTATAATTTCTGCTGCCACTGGATGACTGAGTCCCAGGGACTGCAGGATAATAGACCCAGGATGGGGAAAGGTGAAGCTGGTGAGCCCACATGGCTATAATTGAGCAATGAGGCACAGGGGCTTTTCCCCCTTGACAGTGCTAGGGTCTGATGATGGAGACACTGGTGGAGTGGTCTTTGTCCTCCAGGGGTTGCCGGTCCCAATCTCTCCCCGCAGTAGAAATGCTGGCTGGTTCAGGAACCTTGGGGATCCTGGGTTTGACCTTCCTTCCTCTCTCACTCCAGAAGGAGCATCCAAAAACTTCAAAACATAAGTGTCCAGTGCAGATCATATCTTTGGATGATCAGGGTGGCCTGGCCCTTGCTAATGAGGCCCTGAGCCAATGCCTGGAGCAGGGAGATGTGGGGGACGCTCCTGTCTGCCTGATCTCCATCATTGGGGAACAGCGTCGGGGGAAATCCTTCCTGATGACCTGTCTGTTGCGCCAGCTCCAGAACCAGGTGAGTAGGCACAGAAATCCTTCCAAAGGGAATGGTGGAGGGAGTGAACACGATGGGGTAGAGTTAATGTTTCTAAGTGGGATGTCATACTAAATTTGCAGTTGGGGAGGGTGGAAGGGGGAGAGGGGCAGGGCAAAGGGCTGGGAGGGGGTAAAGAGAGGGCTGCTTGCAGCTGGAGACAGGGAGGCTGCATGCAGCTTGCACGGGGGTCTGAGGCTGGCTGCGGGAAGCAGCCAGGAGACTGCACTGGGTCTGTGGAGCCCCAGGCCACCTCATTGTGTGCATGCACCTAATGCTGGCAAGGAGATGGGCTGAGGGTCTGCATACCCTGGTACAGACTCCCTGCTTGGGGATGGCCCAAAATTGACAAGTCACGTTTATCATGGAGTCCACTATGGCTCCGAGATCCCTTTGCACTGCTGTGCATATGAGAGGGTCACTTCCCAGCCAGGAGATGCGCTGGATATTTTTGCACCCTAGGTGCAGCACTCTGCACTTGTCCTTGTTGTGCTGCATCCTATTGTGTCCTGCCCACTTTTCCAACCTATCCAGGTCTGCCTGCAATCGTTCCCTACCCTCTGGGGTGTCCACTTCACCCCACAATTTAGTATCATCTGCAAACTTGGACAGCGGACACTTCACTCCCACATCCAAGTCACCGATGAAGATATTGAAGAGTGCAGGTCCAAGGACCGAGCCCTGCAGGACCCCACTGCCCATATCCTTCCAAGTCAATCCCTCCCCCACCACCAGTCTCTGAGTGCGACCCCCAAGCCAATTTGCCAGCCACCGGACTGTGTAATCATTTAAGTCACAGCCTCTTAATTTTACTTTCTGCTCCTTTCCCTTCTACCTACTTCCTTGCTTCCCTTTACAGGAAGACAAGGATGCATCCTGGATGGGCAGTGATGATGAGCCACTGGAAGGGTTTGAGTGGCGATCTGGGCCGGAGACTGTGACTAAGGGGGTGTGGATGTGGGGTGAGCCCCTATGGGTCCAGGTCCCACAAGGAAAGGTAAGTGTGGGTGACCTAGGGAAATGAACGGGAGAGGGGATCCAGTGGGAGGTAAAGAGAGAAGACCTGGCTGAAATGCATGGAGGACATGGGGGCATGAAGGGATCTGGGGAAAGGTAGAAGCCATTGATGGGGGGATATGATCCCAGCCGTGGGCACACTTCTGGTTTGAAGCTCCCTTTGACCTGGTGGAAGGATCAATTGAGGCCATATAGAGACCTGATCTTGGCAAATGACCCCAGCAGCGTTAGTGCAGAACCCATCACCGCTGTCGGATGCATATGTCCTTCTGTCTTTCCACCCCTGCAGGTGGCCGTGTTCCTGGTGGACACAGAGGGCTCCATGGACCTGCAGCGCCAGTTGGAGACCAGCATCAAGCTGTCTGTGTTCAGCATCTTGCTTAGCTCCTACCAGGTGAGGGAGCACTGGCTCTAGGTCCATGCTAGACCTACCATGATGGAGATCTTGGAAGGAGTTCCTGGCTTGCAAGGAGTGGGCTGGGGAGGGCTCAGAAGAAGATGTCCAGCTGCAGTGAGCAAGGTGGGGTCTGTGTAGTGGTTGCTTTACCTTTTTCTTCTGATTCAAATTGCAGATTTTCAACATTTTATCAGAGTTTAAGCTTGTGGACCAGGATTATTTGGAGGTGAGTTGGCCAGGAGACGCATAACACCTTGTGTGTGTAGGGGACGTTTTCACTGTAGTTGGCCCCGGGTATTCTGGACTGAGAGAATTAGTCAGGAGCTCAGGCTGGGATTTATGGGGCTATTTTTAAACATTAGGAAGTCTGCGGCTTCTCATCGGAGGGTGAACACGGGAGTCGGGGTATGCTGACATGGCCTATTGATACACAATTAGCAGTGTACTAAAATTAGCATTACTCTGATTTAATAGCATTACTATTATTACTTGGTGTATACAACTGAGCTATAATAGTATTTACTACCACTGTTATGCTCACATCTTTTGGCTCTGCTGGCCAGCTGAGTGGCATGAGGCCAGTCCATGGGCTGGATTGGGCCTTGGGGCCTGGCATTGCCCCCTCCTACTCCCCGCACCTCCATGTCCTGGGACTGGGTCTCGAGAGCCTAACACTGCCCCTTCCTGCCTCCCTGCATGCTGGGATTGGGTCTCAGGGGCCTGATACCAACACATCATGGCCCCCCTATGCTGGGATTGGACTTTGGAGCTTGGCACCGCACCTACCCTGCCTTGTATTTTGGGATCAGGCACCTGATCCAGTGTCTATGCCACCTGGGGCTCCCCGTGGGTCTGGAAATTTGGCAGCAGGGGAGCGGTGTTACTGCTTTCCCATCACCAAATTTCCACCTCCATGGGGAGCCCCATAAATCATATGACATGGTGCTATGCTCCCAGATACAGCCTGCGGGTCAGAGGTTGACATTCACGCACTACAAGATATCATTTAATGCCTACGAGTTAGTGATTAGAAGTCCAAACTCTGCAGCTCATTTAAAATTGTGATTGGAAAGCCGTGCACTGTATAGGAACAGAAATCTCTGGCTGAGTCAGGTGCTTCATTAACGTTTTCATCGTCTCCAAACAGCTCGATGTATTCATTTGCATGTGAATTCCCAACTTTGTCATCTCTTTTATTAGCAGTTGAATATCTAGACTTGGCTCAGATTTTTATCCAGGCCATGGGCAAGATCTTTGGGGACCTGCATGGGGTCTGTTTTGCAGAGTGGGCTTTTCAGACCCTCGGGCAAGGGCAGGGTGTCAAGCTGTGCCACTGATTTAGATGGCTGGTTGCTGATAGGGTGCACATCTACATGTGCACCCAACTGCGCAGTAACCACCAGCACTATGCAGTACCGGCACTGCACAGGGTGTTTCTGACCCTACTGCGCAGTAGCAATGACCTACTGCGCAGTAGCTTGTTGCTACTGCGCAGTAGTGGTGGTGTCATGGTTTGTGCCTGCCCATGCTACGTACACATAGTGTTTCATGTAGACATGCCCGCTGAGCAGAACAAGGTGGCTTAACACTTCCACTTCAGCCACATTTAAGGATGAGCTACCACAGACGGCCTTACTGATCTCAGCCCCCCAGTTTGCTGCTCAGACAGATGAGCATCAACAGGAACGTGACACCACACCTTGGCCACGTGAGTGGGCTAGACCCCTGGAAGAGCCGGCACCACTCCCTGTGGATGCTGTGCAGATCGACAAAAAGAAGAGGTTTCCCCCAGAGAAGAAGGGTTATTTTCATTCCCCAGACTTCTGCCTGTATTGCAGAGCATTGGGGCATTTTGCCCCAACCTGTCCAAGGGAGGGGATACCCACTCCTTCCTCATCCACCTCATTGGAGGGGCATGGCCCAGGCCTGCAGCTGATGGTGCAGGCAGACTGTTCAACCTGCATTAAGCTTTTGAGAACCATCAAGACACGCTTGCTAGTCAGCCTTTGCCTACAACACTGGTCTAGGGTGGACAAATTTGTCCCAGGTGTCTTAGACACTGGGGCCTCCACTAACTTCATGGATGTCACCTTTGTGGAACAACATCAGATACTGGTAAGGCCCCAAAAAGCCCCCAAAGTAAGAGAGAACATGCATGGAGTGTGTATTTCCCCAGGTCCTGCTACGAGTGAGATGTCTTCACTGGGGGTATTGATAGTGGATTACTGAGAGTCTGTTTCTTTACCGTATCTGTTGCCTACATTTTTCTTGGCTTACTCAGTTATCCCATCATGATCCAGACACAGAATCATAGAGTCATAGAAAATGAGGGTTGGAAGGGACCTCGGGAGATCATGTCATGCAACCCCCCTGGTCCAAGCAGGACCAGCCCCAACTACATCATCCCACCCAAAGCTTTGTCTAGCAGGGTCTTAAAAGCCTCCAAGGATGGAGAGTCCACCACCTCTCTGGGTAACCTGTCCCAGTGCTTTGCTATCTTCCTTGTGAGACAGTTTTTCCTAATATCTCACCTAAATGTCCCTTGCTGCACCTTGAGGCTATATATATTGCTCCTTGTTCTGTCATTTTGAACCACTGAGAACAGTCCAGCTCCATCCTCTTTGTAACCACACTTCAGGTAGTTGAAGGCTGCTATTAAATCCCTTCTTGGTGGGCGTATTCGCACATGAATTAATGTATTTTTCCAAATGCACATTAAATTTAGTATCTCTGGGTGCATATACACGAGTACGGAGGCTGCTCCAATGCCCGGGATTTCCACTGCTTTGGACCAGACTCAATTAATCAAGTCTACTGGTGCATGGCAATTGCCACGCTCCAGCAGCCTCCTGTGCCTTGTGTAGCAGCATCCCTGTACTTAAAAGTGGCAGTGGGTCTCTTGAACTAAAGCTCATCAAATGAAGGGAAGTGCCCCCACCTCCAGCCCCGTGGACTTGTACACATCCAGCTTTTCTACACGGTCCCTAACCTGTTCTTCTGCCACTGTTGGCTGTTTACCTTGCCCCCAAACTGCGCTAGTAGTCTGGGAGCTGACCCTTCGCCTGAAGACTGAACCTTCCCTGTGAAGAGTAATGCCACTGTCCCTGTTCTCCGTTTCAATGTTTTCAGTTATTCCCTTTTGCCTTCTGCTTGTGTATTATAGGCTTGCTGCCCTCAGGGAGGAATTTTCTGGCTTGACCCTGGGGTTTCTAAATTTGACTGTGGGTCTGTGACTTAAGTGAGATCAGTTGTGGGTATTCTGCTTTGCTTTTCTTGGACTTTTTCATGGTGTTTGGATTCACAGCTATGATTTATGTTGAATCTTTCATTATAGGGTGCCTGGCTTTGGTGACCTAGTTTTGGCTCTCACTGTTTGGGGGCTCTTTGGAGGGATCTAGTTCATTTTTATTGTTGCCCCAAGCCATGAAGGTTGGAGTCCATCCCTTGCACTGTAGACTTACAGTAATAATAGAGAGAAACACAAGGGTTTTTGGGTTTTTTTTCAATCTCAGATGTTCATTACGGTTGCAGAAGAAGTTGGGAAGAACTTCAATCTCTACCCTGTTCAGGTGAGTTCCCCTCCCACCTCGCTCCCTAAGAGCGTCTACTCTGAGCAGTGGCCGTCTTTGTGCTCCCCATGTCCTGGTGTCAGTGAGTTGAGGTGGATGGTGTCCCTCATCTCTGGCTTTTTACCCATGGGCTCTATATTTGAATGCACCAGCGACCTAGGCCAGTCACCAACCCTGCCCCCAGCAACCCCACTCTCCTCTGGTCTCTGTTGCAGCATCTGGACTTGCTGATCCGTGACTGGCAACACACTTCCACCTATGGAGTGGAAGGAGGCCAGGAGCATCTGAAACGCGTCATAAAGGTAACGAGGCCTGCTGAGGCATGCTGGTCCATGCATTGAGACATGCTTTCAGGGGAAACCACTTTTCATGGAAAATTCATCCCCTATCTTGGCGCACAGGATCTGGAGTCACTTCCAGGCAATGATTTGGTCTTGAAAGTCCTGAAGGCAGCAGAAACCCAGTGTTACCTCATGCCCCATCCTGGTACTCGTTTCACACGCAGTAATCGCTTAGGAGGTAAGTAGCTTGAAACGACTCCTGCCTTCGTCACCCATGTTTCCCTCCTTCCACCCTGGAACAAGCACCCCAACCCCTGATACTAAGAGTGAGACCATGGAGGGGAGCTAAAGGGACGCGGGGGTCCAAGCTGTCAAAGCAGCAAGCAGTTGACTTGGAGCAAACTGCAAATGGGAATAGGCTACAATGCGTGGGGCACCAGCTAGCTAATGAGATGATGGCTGGAGCAGAGTAGAACTGATGATGCCAATGATTAGCCTCTGTGCCGCGTTAAGAAAATGTAAAGTTTGGGGAATAAAAGGGGTGTACTCGGGCCAGGGATATAAACAGAGTTTTTAGGCTGAGGAGTCAAACAGACCCAGGGAAGGAGCTCTTCAGGGACTGCAAAAGTGTCCCACCAGAGTACAAGTTCACTTGGTTCATAGATGGCTTCTGTACCTGCAAGCCTCAAGTCATGGGAGTGGCTAGAAGGGGAGATTGGGGACCACTGGAAATGCCCAGCAGCAGGCACTGTGTTGACCGACGGGTCCAAGGAGGATAGCTCCGTGAGTCCAAGGTCACCTGTCCAGGTCAGGACAAGGGGCCAAGAGAAGATGCGACGAGAGCGGGGACAGAGCAGAGCATGGGTAAATGAGACCAAGGGAAGCTGGGATTGCTTCCAGGGCTGCCAGGTCATCTGGCACTGAATAAGCATGGCCAGCGATTGGGTCTAGGATGAGCATCCAGAGTGACCGCGGGTCGGACAGCCTCACAGAGATCAGAGGTGCTTTTCTTGCCATTAGGTGTTGAACTCGGCTCTGCTCATCATTGGGTGGCCTGCCCTTATCTTTGCTCCTAAGTCCACACTGGTTTTTCTGAGGACAGGCTCCCAAATGTACATTCACTTTTGCACCAAGACATGGTAGTTGAGGGCAGGGCAGTAGCCCGATAAGCTGGGTTGTCGAACAGGCCTCGTGTGGCTTCCAGGTTCCCCCCAGATAGCTGTAGAGAGGGGTCTTGTTTTACATCCTGACCTCATCAGCGCTGCTCCCACTCCCTGCTACGGCTGCATCTCCCCCACCTTGCAGTGCTCCTAAACCCCCTACCACTCTGGATGTCCCGAACCCTGTCAAGTACCGTCTCCTCCAGGCCCCGCAGGAATCACCCTGGTTTTCTTTTGCACAGCAGAGGTGGGCTCAGTGCAGTCGTTCCCCTCAGCCCCAGGACATGAGCCCTGACTGCCTGTGCTAGAAAGCAGCCCTCTTAATCACGGATGCCTGGGTCATGTCTCCCCTTGCAGACTTCGAGAAGGATTTCCAGGACTGCCTGAAGGATTATGTCACCACCCTGGTGGCTTTACCTGCAAAACACGTCCGTAAGGACTCGAATGGGCATGCGCTCACTGGGAAGCAGCTGGCGATGAAGATCAGGGTGAGAGGGCTGCTTGCTAAGCAGGAGGGCGCAGGTGGGAGACCCAGAGGGGCACTTCGGGGAGCAGAACAGGATACTAGACATAGGGCACTGTTCTGCAGGGAGTGAGGTGGGAAGGTCTGGAGGAGAAACTCTTCCTGCAGAGACCCTAATGCCCTCAGGGGAGCAGCATGATGCCAGGAGAGATTATTGCAGCACATTGGGGCTTATGGAAACAGCAGT